ACTGAAGCACGTGATGGTCGGCCGCCCCGGACGTCAACACATCTAAACATATGCAGCAAATGGCGATCGACTCGTTGGCCACGTTTTGGGCCGAGTTGTCCACCGCTTGAGGCGATTGTCTCACCAATTGATCCGATGGTCGACCACCGCATGGCATCTCTTCGACGTAATCACATCGCGAACAGTCGGACGAGACATCCATTTGTTGACCACATCTGCCACACAAGTGACTGACGATGACTACGCTGTCATCCATTGCCGACACGACTACTGATTGTCACCACAATTGACACCAAATAATGACAAGACTTTTGCTTTTGCGTCAAATGTGTGGCGATATTCAAGTGAATACTTAGCCGACGATTCGGTCCTTTTTCATACAACCAGTGCATAGGTATTGATGTTTGTGTTGACGCACAGAAAGGGCCCAAATATAACGAATGCATTGAAATACACTGTAATAGTGACCAAATCATGAATGAATTTATAGTATTTGAATAAATCATTTAAAAAGTTGCCTGATTAGTTGATAACAGTACAATGCAGTGCTTTTATGAATTAAATTAGTGTATCAGTAAAATCTCTAATTTCTAACAAACTTTGAGACAAATAATGAATTGATTACAAAAAGTCATTCAATACAACATTCAATGCATTCATTCAATAATATAATCGCTTTTCAAATGAATTCTAAGTTTTGAACTTTTTTCTCAACAATATTTGCGATCTTTTTGCGGATTTTCTTTGGGGCGACAAATCAAACTCTTTTGACACGATTTCGAAATCTTCTTCCAGTTATCACTCAATATCACCACAAATGACTTCCAACACGATTTCAAAAATCGACTCATGTGCTCATACGGTGTACGCCCCGCCTCCAGAGTCACATGAGTCGCCCCCCGAAGCTCCGCTCGGCCAGGGAGTGGAAGGGGTAGGAGAGGTGACCACCAGACCATCGGTGGTGTTACCGATGACCCTAAACACCAGTTCAATCACTGGAACCACTGTTCAATCTGACTCCTCGTCAATAAAGGGGCGACCGTTAGGGTTGGATAACCAGGACCTCAACGGATCCGCAACTACTGGCACTCCAACCACCCATAGAGGCAAAGGTTTACGCCGTCTGTGGACTCGTTGTGAGACAACTGTCCAATCAATCGGACAGTTCTGGAGGACAAGACGTCTACAGCGCGAGTACTCAGACGTGCGGCGAGTATTGAGTGGAGAGACGACTAAAACTGCTCACAAAGGCTTGAGACAGATATCAGGCGTTACAGTCCAGTGTCCGCAGACGGGTTTAGTCACTCATCAGCTCATCCCTGACAGCACTCGTAAGACATCTTGTTTTACAGGATTTAAGACTTGTTGTCAACGAATTGGTCGAGTCTTTGGAAAGAACGGCAAACAGAAGGCATCCGACGATAATCTGGTCTCCAATGAAGACAATCCCGAAGATGTCATGAAAGCCATCGACACCATTGACACGACTGAAGGCATCGCACCGACAGATGTCATACTCTCGATATCTCTTGAACTGAGTGCTCATAAACTGATGACTCGATTGAAGGATAACATAGACTTTGACCACAACTTCGAGCGCATAATCAACGAATCGCTGCCTCTTTTGTCGGCCAATGGAGTGCTTCTATTGGTTCGTCTCCTAGGGTTCGGATACTATGGTGTAGTAGTGTCTGCACTCGTGATGGACATCGTATCCGTTGCCATCAAATTCTGTCGATCTTCTGAAGACAGCGTTCGCCGAGAGATCCAAACGGCTCTTCGTTTGTCGCACAGGAATGTGCTGTCAGTCCATGACATCCAACCACCGAAAGGCTGTACTTTTGTGGTCATGGAGTTGGCGGAGACGGACCTACTTTCCTATCTTATGGCAAACGACCGGACAGTGTCTTATGTCTTATCGAGAGATCCACTCCATCTGTAAAGACATAGTTACAGACGTTATGTATTGACACTAATATGTCATATTGTATTCATTGATCTCGAGTATGATATCATTAAGTGATTCAATTGTTTGCCGATTCAAATGGGTATCAAATCTGTGATCAGTTGTCAAGTGTGTGTCAGTGTAATTATTGATCCAGATAAATCCATTCAAATTTCAGCCAATAGCCTTCGTTTTGGGAATTTTCTACGATATGCCATATTTTGCGGTATATTCCTTGCAAAATATCTATTCAACAGTTTATACGTAACGTCTGTCTCCTGATTAACGGCGGCTGATATTAGGCCCACAAATATGAGGGGCAATAATGTGAGGCTAACCGGATAGACTAAAATCAGTCGGATAATGAATGGCAGGTTTAGAAACAATAACACATAGGCTATAGTAATGCCACTAATGCTCAACAATATCCACAGAATCGCAATGTATTGACACCAATAAGTGGTGTTATACTCATTGATCTTTAGTATGATATCATTAAGCGATTGAATTGTTTGCCGAATGAATAGCGGATCAAATCGGGAATCGGTTTCCACATGTGTTTTGAGGATTTCATTAAATGACCGCAATTTGTGTCGAAAATAATGACAAATGAGATAAAAGTGAACCAATAGATATAATATCTGTGGCACACTGTAATGGCCCATAAATGTAAACATGATGGTTTGCGGGATACCGTACACAATGATTTCCACTAGTGTACAATTTATGGAGTATGATAGTAGCGTGTATATTATATACGATAACACTCCGTAAATTTGCAATTGTCTGACAATTTTGAACAAAAGCCGTGATTTGCGACATAAATCCCAAACGTGATGCCTATCCGTGAGTCCAATCTGTTTGGGAGTCATATAACCCGCAAACATATGAAACAAGGATAGAAATGTGGGTTTTATACCCCGCTTATAGTTATAGTAATAGAGTACACGAAATAATATGTTCAATATAACGAAATTAATCAAAAAAATGTTTACGTGTTTAGGAATGCCCTGTAGGTAAGCCAGATCACCAAACATAATCTTGATAATGCGATACTCGCTTGGTATGAATGACACGATTGTTAATTGTGTTAAATATATCCCCAAAATGGCATTGACAAGTTTTGGATGGTAAATCAGTGTTCTGGTTGCACCTTGCTCATACTGAATATGAGTGTACAATAAGCCAATTTTATACAATTGATTGCTGGCTGATTTTGTTATTAATTCAACTGGTATGATTTTATTCATATTAACAGAATTCATATTGAATGCTACAATTATACAGTATGTAGACCTGTTAGTACTGTGCCGCTGTAATGTAAAGCATCAATATATCTATTTAAATACAGTAAACTGTAGCTATGCAATAACTCACCTATAGCTGTAGCTATGCAAATCATTTCAAATATCACCAACATTAATATTGTAGAAACAATTAATTTTATTATTTCAATTCATTTTCATTGAATATTATTCTTTATTATGAAAATGTTTGTATCGCTAATAATAAACATAATGGACTCAGTTTTTTGAATATTAATCTTTTGCAACGCTCATAATACAGCAAATTCTGTAACAAACCACTTAACATTCATACATAAACTTTAAATGGGCTTCATTTATTAATATTACCATGCTGTATTCTATTAAATAATTATGTATGAATTAATAAAATTTATTAACTAGAATTTAATTCTAGTTAACTATAAAAAACATTGACAAACAAATATTGCTATATTTATATTTGAAAGTACATTATGAATTTTATTATATTATATTACAATAATAAATATCTAATTTACAGTATACTAATGATTTTAAACTATGTTGTCAATATGCAATAACAGTGTAATATAATTAGGTGTAAATGTAGTACACAATTAATTCACTAATTACTTATGACATTTGTTTAGTTAAATTCTGTATAATCAAATAATAACTATAATATGTACGAACCTAATATATAGAAATCAATGGTTTAAGTTTGGATAACATTTTAAACACTATCACCCTGCTGACATTTTAACTTATTTAACAGATTGAAAAACATGCCAATCGTATAATGAATAAATGGTTTTGAAAGAATAATATATATATTATAGTAATGCCAATACTGCTCAACAATAGCCACAGAATCGCTATGTATTGACACCAATATGTAATCTCGTATTCATTGATCTCCACAATGATATAATTAAGCGATTGAATTGTTTGCCAAATGAATTGGGTATCAAATCTGGTGTGAAGTGGAACTCAATTTCTCACTATTTTTAAAGTTTAGTTACTTTCCAATTGATGTCAAGTCGAGACACTTATTTGACTTTTAGTTATGTTTAACTTTTACTGTTATATTTTTTAATGTTTTTCAATTCAATGCCAACTTTATGGAGTATTTTAGAGTTTTCTATTTTAAAGGTTTTTTCATACTTGTACTGGTATGTTTAATTTATAGTTATTTTGTTATTATTATAACGGGTATTCCACGAATTGGACACATTTTGAAACTTAAATAAATCAAAAACTAAACTAGGTATTATAAATCTGTACAAAGGGTTTTAGTAGTTGATGGTATAGCATTTTATGTGGCATACTAATCACCATGATAATCTATGGATTAATAAATATTGACTCACGCGCAAGCATGTTTTCTGAAATGTGAGACAATTCATGTAATACTGAGCTATAAGTGAGTGAATAATGCTTTGAATTCAATTGATATGTGATTTCTATTTTATAATTCAATTACCTTTACCTAAAAATTATGCTTTAATTTAAATCATACTATACTTGTAGTGGAAATAAATGTTATCGACTAATATTAATCGCAAGAATAGTATTTATTTATATAACGATTGGAAACAAAACATTAGAATTATTTGAAATTTTTAGACAATGTTCTCAATTAACAAATTCTTATATAAATTTAGTTTTGATCGTTTGGTAGCAAAGTATTGAATACTTGAATGCAAATTAAGCACAAATTATTTAACATTAGAAACACAAACATTAATTTAAGCAAAAAATACAAAATTTAAATCAATTATCAAACAAACAGTAGAAATACACACAGAATTGCATAAAGAATTTGAAAAACAATTCACAATATTATATGGAAAGGGATTACAGAATAATAATCATATAGTAATCGCTGAAAGACTGCTTCGCCACTCGTTTCGCTCAAAACATCTTTGAATTGAACTGACATTTGAGGAGATATTTGACTTTGACTTGATTCACGTCATAGACGATGAACTCGTTGTACAGAAGCGAACACTTCTGCGATTTCTGCACTCCTCTACCGAACGGCACTTTCGTTCCGTTGGGCATCACATGAACCTCTTGGGGGTCGGGCTCTGTCGCACCCAAACCCTTAACGCTGTGCTTGTCTTTCGGCAGTTTTGTCACGTCTTTGGCGTCATTTAGATCCCAACTGAAAGACAAATCAAATATCAGTCCAAAAGTTATACAAAAACAATGAATGAATCCAAAGGCCATACGTCTCGCCGACTGCCACTTCACTCAGCAATAGGTAACCGATATTCTTGTTGGACTGGTAGTGACAATAGCCGGCGCTCTTAGTGACCATATCCGCAAAATAGATGCCTTTCCCAAACATATAGCCGGTTACGGGTGCCTCCGGGGGTGCTATACGAAGACCCTGTGATAGAATACCCGCAAAGTTTGTGACTCGCGATCCGTGCCATAAGAGCATCCGATTCTCAATGTCTTTGAACTTCTGGAACCGTTCAGACTCTCCCTGGCGTTCGACCTTAAAGACGTCGACGATATCCAGACTGAAGTAATGGGTGGATCCGTGAGTGTTCTTCAGGTACTTCTCAATGATCTCGTATTCCTCCTCATCCTTCGTCAACGGCT